TTGCCTTTTTAGTCCCCCACCCCCCATTTTGGGTAGCCAATGTCCAAGTTGCCCATCCCTGTCTACTCAGATGCAGCATTTTAAAAATGAAGTACTGATGATGCCAAAAAGGATAATGTCTTACGATGGGTTCTTCAGAAGCAAAATCAGTGAGGCTCACAGATGCAGGCTTCTGTGTGCAGAGGCGAAAGAACCCAAGTCAGCAGGTGAGATGGCAGGCTGCTGACAACTTCCAGGATTGGCTGGTGACTCAAGTCCAGAGAACCAGAGGTCAGGTGATGAGCCAAATGCAGGCTCTCGACCCAGCAAAAGCAAACCAGCTTTTCCATAGTATCCACATATATTGAACAAACAGTTCACATCCCCAAGGAGACTTCTCAAGGAAGCTTTCTTTCAGTTGGTTGGCTGCTCATAGCAGATCTCATCATAGAGGTGATTTCTTTTTATTGGATCTCATCATGACTACATCGTGACTACAAGCCATTGAGAATCCTGGCCCAGTCAAACTGACAAAACCTTTAACAGATGATCATATTTGATGTGCTCCTTCGTCTCTCTTATTTGCGACATGTCAATCAGGAGGATCCTGTCCCTAGAGAAGAATATCATGCTTGGTAAAGTTGGAGGGTCAATGGAAAAGAGGAAGACCCCAATGAGATGGATTAACATAGTGTCAGCAGCAACAGGCTCAAGTGTAACAACAACTGTGAGGATGGTTGAGGACCAGGCAGTGTTTTTGTTCTGTTGTGCATATGGTTGCTGCAAGTCAGACTGACAATAAGTACCATTTCCCTACCTGCCCCTGCTCAAATTGCTTATCTGTGTATCCCCTTGAAGATTATTGTTACTGAAGTGTGACTTAGGAGTATAAAATAGCGTTTCCCTTTGCTTTCCTTAACATTTATGCTCCTTCATCATTTTATGTTGGCTTCCCCTTATTGTATATTGCTTTTTCCTTCACACATGTTAACATGTGTCTACCCTCTACTTAGTGATTTACCCTCCCTTCTCCTTCCAAACCTGGTAACCTTCAAAGAATATTTCTTTCTCTGTGTGTAAACCATTTATTGACTATTTTACAGTAATGGTCTCATACAATATTTATCCTTTTGTGATTGACTAATTTCACTAATGCCCTTTTGGTTTGCCCATATTTTGAGGTGTTTCACAGATTCATTGTCTTCTTTAACATTGCATGATATTCAACAATGTGCCTGTACATAGTTTGTTTATCCATTCATTCATTGATGGATATTGAGAATACTGCTGCATTGAAATGGGTGTGCATGTATCTGATTGCATCAATGCTCTTATATTTTACTGGACTACTGGTGAGGTGCTATAGGATCAGTACTAGACTGCGAACCACAAGGTCCAACTCTAGCAGCTGCTCCTTGGAAACTCTACACAGAGTCGCTGTGAATCTGAACAGACTCAGCAGCACTTAACAACAACTACACATTCTTGGGAGTGGGAGTGTTGGATCAAATGGTATTTCTATTTCCAACTTTTTAAGGAAGTGCCATGCATTTTCCATATTGGTTTCACCATTTTATTGTCCCACCAGCAATATAGGAGGGTTTTAGTCTCTCCACACCCTCACCACCACTTGGTATTTTCTGTTCTTCTTTCAATTTTGCTTGTGGCAATGTGAGTTAATGTGCTGGACTGCAAAGTGTTAATTGGATTGTTTTCACTTTTGTTGTTGATGTGTTGAAGTCTTCTATGGATTTTAGAGATTAGCCCTTTGTCCAGTATGTCCTTGTCAAATAATGTTTCCTAGTCAGTAAGTTCTCTTTTTACTCAATTGGTGAAGTCTTTTGATATACTTAAGTGTTTAATTTTTAAGAGGGCCCAGTTGTCTAGTTTTTCTTCTGCTGTTTATGTGTTTTTATATATGTTTGGTAATATATTTATGAGCTCTGTGCTTTCTTTTTTTTTTTTTTCTTTTACCAGGAGTATATTGTCCTTTGGGCCTGGCAGCTCTGGAACTAACAGAGCTTGTAATGAACAGAAGCATTTATATTTGGATGGCATTCTGGTTTTGTTTTTCCTGGGCCATGCCATTCTATCAGGCTACCATTTATTTTTATACATGCTGAGTTTTTCTTTTATTTTAAAATTAATATTGCATTGTGATTTGGGTGAAGGTTAGTTTAGATTCCCAATGAACAATTTTTGTACAAGTTGCTTAGTGACATTGGTTGTGTTCTTCACATTTCATGAACATCCTCTTGATTCCCGTTCTAGTAGTTCCACTGAAATTAATCTATCGATTCCCTGCCCCCGGCTTGCATTCTAACCTTTGTTTTAAAGTATCTGTTGAAACTGTTGATTGGTGAGCTGAGTTTTTAATTTTTCTCCTTTTGATGACAGGATCGTGGGGTTGATCGCAGCATTTTCCAGAATCCCAGCAAGCTTCACTTAACTCTTGGGATGTTGGTGCTTCTGAGTGAGCAAGAGGTTCAGCAGACGTGTGAGCTGCTACAGCAGTGTAAACAGGAGTTCATCGAGTGAGTAATACACAGGAATGAGGAGGGGTGGTGTCACGCCTTCTGTTTGGTACCACAGACTTGTTTTTGGACTAGGGAGCTGGGTGGCATGGTTGAGTCACCCATCTGGAACATTTGACATTGGACATGGGCTGAAAGGTTTCAAATGAATTTAAAGTACAGATAGTCCCTAACTTAGAATGGAGTTCTGTACTGACGACTGTTCTAAGTCAATTCTGACATAATTTGAGGTTTTTCATTATGTTTGTTTGTTTCTTAAATTTTAATTACTTTGGACATTTATTATCGGTATTTCATGAATCTAGTGTATAACTTTGGAGGTTATACAGATTACATATAAACTCACAACTATAATGATGTCAGTGTATTTCGGGCTGCAACATTGTATGTCCTACATATTAACTAATGATAAGATGTTGCAAAAAGAAAAAGGAAGGTTGTAAGTGTGGCTTGTCATAACTTAAATATAAGTCAGGGACTACCTGTCTATGGGGAGTCCTGGTGTGACGCTGTGGGTTAATGTGCTGGACTGCAAAGTTGGCTTAAACTGCAAGGTCGGCGGTTCAAGCTTACCAGCCACTCCTCAGAAAGCCTGTACAGGGTCCCTGTGAGTCAAAATGACTCGACAGCATTTAATAACAACAGTCACTTGTGTGTGACACTGCAGGATTATGTGCTAGACTGCAAAGTTGGTTTAAACTGCAAGGTGAGTGGTTCAAGCTCACCAGCCGCTCCTTGGAAGCCCTATACAGTGTCGCTATGAGTTGGAACCAACTTGATGGCACTTAACAACAGCAACAGCAACCTGTATATGGAATTCTGGTGTGATGCCATAAGATAAGCACTTGATTGCAAGGTCAGTTAGAACCTCAGGGTCGGTGGTTCAAACTCACCAGCCATTCTTCAGAAACCCTATACAGGATTGCTGTGAGTCAGAACCAGCTAGATGGCACACAACAACAACCTGTATGTATTTACAACCTTTTTATAAGAAGACTGTTTTTTGTATTATACTAGCGCAGTAGGCAAATTTTATATCTAAAAAGGACATTTCATTATTTTCTCCAAAAAGAAATTTTCCTTGGAGAAAATGAGACTAAGCTAGTATCCCAATTATGAAGAGTCCAGGCTACTGTATTAGTTTTGTATGCTGCTCTAACAAATCACTACAAATGTACAGGCTTTAAATAGCTCATAGGGATCTCAAGGTCCGAATGGTCTGCTCCACTCCGGGCTTTCCTTTCTTGTTGGTAGTGAGATCCCTATTTCTGCTTCTGAGATGGCTGATTTAAAATCCAGCAGGATGGGAAAACTGTCTAATCCCTGTGTTAGAGTTTTGTACACTTTACTTGCATGGTCCAACCCAGTCATTGGAGTCTTGGTGTGGGGCTATCAGTTAATGCGCTGGACTCCGAGGTTGGTTTGAACTGCAAGCTCAGTGGTTCAAGCTCAGCAGCTGCTCCTTGGAAACCCTATACAGGGTCTGTATGAGTTGAAACTTAATCGACGGCACTTAACAGCAACAATAACAACAATGACCATGGCTAAAAGAGCCATATTAAATAATGTACTGCACCACACCACATAAGGTAGCACGTTCACAATTCTGGAGATTCGAACGTGGACATTTTTGTTGTTGTTAAGTGCTGTCAAGTTAGTTCTATTCATAATGACCACCATATGCACACAGAAGACCATTATTATTTTCATTGTATTTCAGAAACAAAGTCTTCCAGAAGAGACTTAATTTTTAATCTTTTAAGCAGGTGATTTTGTTTCAGGCAGTAAGGGTAACAGGAGCTGTCTAAGCAATTCTGATTTTACTTAGGTAAAACATTGCTATTTTGAGGGCAGTTGATTTATTTTTCTGTAAAATTCTAATTTACGCATGCACATGACATAACAGCTTTATTTCAAGAAATATTTCTTCTCCCTTGCCCATTCATCCTTTTCTTTTTTTATTGTAATTTGGATTGGAGTTTGCAGAGCAAATTAGTTTTCCATTCAGCAACTCATAGGCATTTTTTGTATCATTCATTATAATCCCCACAATGTAATAGCATTTTCTTTACTTCCTTTCTGTGTTTCTTCTCTCCGTTTATTTCCTGCTTCTGAGCTTTATTCCTGGGCAAATACTACTCTCTGAGCCTTGTCTGGTTGATTGATCTAAGGAGTTCATACCTCCCTGGTGTATTAATTATCTTACAGACCTGGTTTTCATTTGGCTGAAAGTCGAGTCTTGGGGGTCAGTTCAGTTCCAAGCTGAAGGTCCATATTCTTGGGGGGTGTCACTAGTCTATCCATCCAGTAAGCTGGCTTAAAAAAATTTTTTTTTATTGTTATGCTTTGAGTTTTGTTCTACATTTTTCTTCCTCTTTCTAGTACTTCCTATTGTGATCCTTTTCAGAGTGGTCAGCAGTGATAGCCAGGTATCATCTAGTTCTTCTGGTCTCTGGGCTTTAGAGTCAGGCATTCACGTGGTCCGTTCATCCTGTGGACTAACTGGTTTTCTTCTTTGTTTGATTTTCTTCCCTCTTCTTTTCTTGGACAGGGAAAAAGCAATAGATGTTACTCATAAGCATTTAAGACCCTAGTTCCTACTCACTGAAATAGGATATTGCCTGTGTGGACTATGTTATGACAGTTGACTTTAGTGTTTCCTGAGACAATGGTCCAGAAACTCATTCCACCAGAGTGTTTGTTTATAGCTAAAAAGATTTCATAACTTTTCCCCTGTATTCTCTAGTATATTCATGAATCTATTTGAAAATTCTTTTGAAAGTCAAGAATACCAGAAAGATGCTTACACTTGTATGCTTTATTGACTATGCAAAGGCATTTGACTGCGGATCATACAAACTATGGATATCATTGTGAAAAGTAGACATGGCAGAACACTTAATTGTGCTAATAAGAAACCTGTACATAGACCAAGAGGCAGTTGTTCAAACAGAACATGTGGATACTGAATGGTTTAAAATCAGGAAAGATGTTCACTAGATTTGTGTTCTTTCATCAGTCGTGTTCAGTCTGTATGCTGAGCATATAATCCGAGAAGCTGGATGAAGAAGAACATGACATCAGGATTAGAGGAAGATTTATTAACAACCTGTGATATGCAGATGATACACAATGTTGCTTTCTGAAAGTGAAGAGGGTTTAAAATATTTAACTGATGGGTATCAATGATCTTCAGTGTGGATTACACCTCAATATAAAGAAAACAAAAGTCATCACAACTGGACCAATAAATAACATGATGAGTGGAAAAAGATTGAAGTTGTCAAAGACTTCATTTTACTTGGATCCACAATCAACACTCATGGAAGCAGCAGTCAATAAATCAGTATGCAGATCTGCTGCAAAAGAGCTCTTTAAAATGTTCAATAGCAAAGATATCTGTTTGAGGACTAAGGTGTACCTGACAGATAAGATGGTATTTTTAGTCGTCTTATAGGCATGTGAAAGAAGACTGGAGAAGAATTGATGCATATGAGTTATGGTGTTGACGAAGAATATTGGAAGTACCATGGACTGGCAGAAGAGCAAGCAAATCTGTGTTGAAAGAAAACAGTCAGATGTTTCTTAGAAGCGAGGATAGCATGACTTCGTCTCTCATATCTTGGATATGTTGTCAGCAGGAATCAGTCCCTGAAGAAGGAAATCATGCTTGGTAAAGTGGAGGGTCAATGGAAAACAGAAAGTCCCCCAGCGAGATGGATTGGCACAGTGACTGTAACAATGGACTCAAACATAACAGTTGTGAGGATGGCGCAGGGCCGGGCTCTGTTTTCTATTGTGCATAGGGCTGCTATGAGTTGGAACCTAGTTGACCATACCTAACAACAACATTTGTTGTTGTTACTAGGTGCCATCGAGTCTGTACCAACTCTGCGACCTTATGCACAGCAGAATGAAACACTGCCTGATCCTGGGCCAACTTCACTATCGTTGCCACACTTGAGCCCACTGATGCTGCTACTTGGCCAATCCATCTTGCTGGGCGGTCTTCCTCTTTTTCTCTGACTCTCCACCTTACAAAACATGATATCCCTCTCCAGTGACTGGTCCCTCTTGACAGTATGTCCGAAGTATGAGAGACAAAGTTTGTCCATCCTGCCCTCCAGGGAGCACTCTGGCTGCATTTCTTCCAACACAGCTCTGTTGGATCTTTTTTTTTTTTTTCTTAAATGTTTTCATGTGAATTATGTGATAGTCTACATGGGAGAACACTGGTTTTACAATCATTCTATCATATATCATCTCATTGCCATGGTTACAATCCTCTCCATGCAATCCTTCCCCTATGCCCCCCAGGTCTTCAGCACACAGTCGATCTCCCTCTCTGGATCTAAAGTCTCCAGCTGCTCCATCACTCCATGTCATCATCTTTGGCTCCATTTCAGGCATCACTGCTTCTCTGGGTAGGTTCCCGCTCTCTGCTCTTCTCCCTTGATGGTCCTAGGGACCTCCGCTCCTAGACTGAAAAGTTAATCACT